ATAATGCCAAGGCTATTTATATTTATTTAATGCTGTACTATACATATATCAACATGATTACGCATAGCACATTAGATTAACGGGAATTGTGATTACTTCCAGCAAACTGCTTTTCTTTAGGGGAAGAGAGCGGCAGTGGAAATGTATTTATGGAAATTGCCCATTTTCATATTTGTCCACAACAACATGAAGTGAATTTTCCAAGTTTGATTTATTTTTAATAACCTGGGAGATTTATTGAACAGCAACACTTAAGAGGAGGGAGAAAGAAGTAGGAGAAAACACTTGCTAAATCCCAGTGAATTCCCCAACATGATAATATGATTTTTCAAATCCAAGTTCAACTGTAATTTTGTGATTAAGCAAAACCAGGAGAGAGATCCAGAAAGGAGATTTGCAAGACGACGTTAAGCGGGAGAATTCCAGATTTTCCTGGAAGCAGTTTTGTCATCCCTCAATGTAATAGCCAGTGGTGGATTTAATCCCCTCAAATTAGTCCCTCGCTAATCCTCACTAACCTCAAACAGAGGTCACTCGTGTCCAATTTGAAGATGCATAAAGAACACTTTGTAATTGCGTGTTCCAGGCCCACAGCTTGATGATGAGTAATTCTCCTGCATGCTCTTTTCTCTGCACATCAGATTCAAAAAGTCAAGTCTACACACAAGTCAGCCTGACTGACAGCTGTGCTTTAAACAGGTTTAAAGTCAAAGCAGAACACATGTTGGATCACATTTATGATTTTTACACTCAATTCTGAGTCTGATCGACACTTTATCACTCTCGTTCAAAGACGTTTATGGAGCTCCCTTGTTCACGTCTCGTACTCCACCATGCTGTATACTGATGAATGGACGGGGCAGGGCCAAATGTGACTGAGCGCTGCGCTGGCGAGACACAGCCGGCGTGTGACCTTGTGTGGCTATCACATCACATCTTGGCTGTTTGACTCTACTGTATTAGAGGATTATGTCGACCTCTGCCCCTGGTTCCCGGTCAAATTTAAGCTTGATGCACTTACTTCTAAGCCTATATTCTGCCCATGCCAGCTGTGAGGGATGGTGTTGCTTTTTGCTCTGTCAGTGCCACCTATTCCCTGTAGTAAATATGGTTTATGATGCTTATAGTGGCAGAGATCACTCAGAAAACCAAAATATCTGATATTGAAATGTAGAGCTTGCTTCACAGCCTTTTTGGGACAATGCTTTGGAACATCAGTTTAATGTCACTGCCCTCCTCTGTGTGTATTTGTAACGCGAGCAGGTGAGTTTTACACAATCTGAGACACACACAGGCATAGTCATGTTACTGCACAAACACTGGATACATGGATTAACACAAACAGATGGCCACAGTCCCTAAACCAAATCAATACACTGATGAAGAAGAAGCGCAAAGACACATCACACCATAGAAATGCAAACAGATGCAGGGCCCTGAATGGCAGCACAGTGGAAGCTTAAACTAGTGCTTCTCCTGAGCAGCAACTAATCAGAAGCCTTGAATCTCAACAATTAAAATTGTCAATGGCCTTTGTGTCATTGTGCAAAAACCAGGGTTTTGATGCTCCAATAGATATTTAGTATAATGGCCTCTTCAATCTCTAATTAGCTGTACTGCTTTGCTGCACATCATTGTTAAATAGAACTGCTATGAATTACTTTCCAGTGGTGCTAGATCGTTGAACACACAAATGTTTTAGCGTTGTCAACGTGGTGGTGTTTTGTTTTGTACGTGTTGAACAAAGTGATGAAAGCCTCGCAGTATGCGGCGTATACAGCCGACACGTGTACACACTGTGACATGCACAAGTGGTCTGCTCTTGCATAAAGTGAAGCAACTTCTTTTGCAGAGACCTAAACGTCCTTCCTTTATCATACATTAAAGTAAGAAACAAGAAAGTAAGGTGTTGATGAATGTATTTATTTGCATTGGAAAAAGCTTTGATGCAGGATTTTTAAACAAAGTTGTGCAAACACATTCTTTGCATTAAAAAGTAAATTTGTTACATGGAAAGATTGTTTTTATCTTAATAGATATTTTAGCAATCGCAACAACTGAAACCTCACATAGTTTAATTTCCTTTCACTATATTCCTTCATCACGATGAAGGTTATCCTGTATAATCCTCTGGCCAGTGATCTCCACTCGGCGTGTCTATTATTAAGCGAGCTAATAATAGACCACTACCTTGTGGCTATACCTGCTGCCCCTAGCAGACATTTTAAATGGACACCCCTGAAATACAAACCCAAACAAATCCCACATCGCGTTCTAGACTTTCTACATCTTTCCCTCCCCGGCCTTTGTGACTCAGTGTGACCCAAAGGTTGCAGAGGCCTCACAGCAAAGTGAAATAATCCCTGGGAATTTGCAAAATCCTCTGTAACCTTTTGAACACACATGACCTCATCACTTGCTGCACCCCATTTCCCTGAGGCCCCTTTGTTGTGGTATTTAAAATCCCACAGCAGTTGAAGGAGGAAAAGTGCAGAGAAGTAGTTGACCCTTTTCTATTTCTTGCCTGGTGTGAATCATTTTCAATTCAAAGAGGGAGCAAAGTGCCACTTGCTGTTTTCCACACCTCAAACCCTCCAGGAATATGTAGTTACCCTTTTGTCTTTCTTTTGTGTCTGGTTCTTTTCTTTCATGTCATCGAATTGTGATGAATCTGGAGACACACACATACACACAATCACACACACATACGCAAAAAGAGGGTTCTGCTAAATTAAGAATAAAGATGGAGGCAGCCATCCTGTACGCCAGTGGCTAATTTTAGCCCTTCAGGGCAGTGCACTGTATCTCCCTGTGGATGGGTTGAGCTGTGGAGGGATCTGGGCCTCAGCTCAGCCTCTTGTTCTCTCCTCTGTGCGTGGTCACTGTCCTTTGTGCAGAGAGGTGACGGAGCAGGCACAATGCACCGGGCTGAAGAGCTGTGGAATCAAAGAGCTTTTGATGAGCTTTTATTGGTGGATTTTACAAAAGCATGGTGAGACTGGATCAGAATTGTGCTAGTATATACCAAGTCCTCACTCAGGCTCTCTGTGTTGTTTTAGATTAACTGCACTATGAGATGAGGACCTGAGTAGCCTTTGCATTAGGTCAGAGTTGTTCAATATTTGTTTCCTCCAAATCTTCAGGTAAACAATCCAGAGGTTGCAAAACATAGCTGATGAGGAAAATTTGTGAAAAACTAGAACAGTACTGAGTAGAGCACATTTCTGCATCTAGGTGAAAAAATAAAATCTGTGCATTATTCTGATTAATTAATGGAATTGTTGAAAAAAGCACTATGTTGAGTGAAAAAAGTTCTGTATCTGCCCCTTAAACTGCATCTGCACTGACATTTAATTGGATCTTGCCAGACACAGGCTCATGATTGGTGGAAATCAGGTTTGGCCTAATCCTGCTAAATAATAAACCAACAAATCTCCCTTGCGAAAGTACTAAAATCAGAATTAAGATTGAATCTAGGGTGAGAAGTAATGTCAAATATAATTCATTGATCCTGATAAACTAAATCTGGCATATTTTGGGAACTGATATTTACTGTTGGGCCTTGGCGGAGGTATGTGCTCTGCTGAGTGAAGTGAAGTTGTAATTGAATGTAAACTTAGGCCTGTGTGACTTCAACACTCCTAAACATCACTTTTTCTGGAAACTTTAACACTTATTAAAAGCTTACAAGACAAGAAGTACACAATTTCTCCCTCTCTATAATCTGTTTTGACAGTGGGGTGCACCACTCTCCAATTACTGCAACTATTATGAGCAGACTGGGCAGTTCACTAGATATGGAAAGCCATCAACTTAAGAATAGATAATTGCCGGAAATCTTTCATTCAACAAATTGGCTAATGGGTCAGGTTTATTATGCAAAACCCATCAATCAGGGACCCTCTTCTTTTTCCATATATCATTTTAGAAGGAGAATCGAGCTTCAGCGTGTGGAATAACTAACCTGGAAAGAAGTGATGGGTTTCACATGCTAATGAGAGACTCATGAATTAGCGCCCCAGCCAACCGGGCATGAGTCAATTCTCTTTGCCCAGATCCAATGTAAATGAAATGGCTTCTCAACGCAGATATGGTTACTCATCCTGCTGATGACTTTCTATTCTAAAAACTTCCTGCACTAATTAAATAACCGCGTGGTGAGACTCGCCCCAGAGCCGGGCATTTAAAAAAAACACACACTTTGCGGCTGATTATTCCAGAGACCTGCACACACTCTTCATCGTTTAGCATTTCATTCTCTCTGAATTACCTACTCTGCTGTATATGTGTTTCCTACACTGGTTCTGTTTGTTTTGGACAGCAGCCATTTTGGATTATGAACAGTCTGACATTTGTGAATGCAAGGATGCACACATACAAACACATGCACACTTAAACACACTGGAAACAAGCACACAGGCACGCTATGCCTCAACTTGCAAGTGACGTTTCACCTTTCAGAATGTTTTGAGGCTTAATCCTGCTGCAGAAAGATTTCAGTTTGAAACCATGCACCTTCAATTACCCACATACTTCCATGCATTCATAATTGCATGACTGTTAAGCAATACATCCAATAGAGGGCAACACAGAGGCGAGTTTCTCACACACATGGCCACGGAGAGAGGAGTTGTGCTAATGTACCTTCCTTCCTTGTGTCCAATGGTCAACTTGCTTGAACTATTGGGTACCCTGCGCCCCCTGTGATTTCCAATGGTACTGTTCAGTTTCGTCCATAAGCTTTCAGAAGACATGAATGAGTACAGAGGAAATGAACGCAGAGCACGAACAGAACTGACTGTTTCCAAATCTTTAATGGACCTTTTAGTGTTTTTTCGATAAGTTTGATTTTTTGGAGTTTTCATTTTGTGAGCTTAAGAGACACTAACAATCTTCATTCAAACCACTGTGTGACTGTGATGACCTCAGTTTGATGTATGATCAGACACACTGACGGAAACTAACGGAGGTCCCTCTTTCTCTCTTTCTCTCTTTGGCAGATTTTCCATATGACCTATGACCTGGCTAGTGCAGTGGTAAGAATATTTAATTTGATAGGGATGATGCTGCTTCTGTGTCACTGGGATGGCTGTCTACAGTATCTGGTGCCTCTCCTCCAAGACTTCCCTCCCGACTGCTGGGTGTCCCTAAATGGTATGGTTGTAAGTATTACACGCTCTTCTCTCTTGTTTGTTATTTTGGAAATGGGAATATAAAATGTGTGTGTGACAATGGTACTGTCTTCTAATTGACCATTCACTAAGCCCCCCTGCAACACAGTGAGTCAAGCTTTCTGTTCTCGTCTGATTGAGTTTACAGGTAACGGTGGCGGATACACCTTTTATCATTTTTTGGAAAAGCCCCCCATTCAAACTTAAATTCAAAGTACTGCACCAACTAGAGCCTCATTTGTTCTGTTAACACATGCAAAGATGGGCCTTCTTTCATAAACTGGAAAGTCACTGTGTGTGGTTGGGTTTAGTGACCATTCAATGTGTGTGTATACTTTATATGCGGGTGTGTTTTGATCAAAATCAGCCTCGCAGTTGAGCTCCAGGTAAGTAAATTCAGCTTCAGGACTTAAATCAAATGCTGAAAGGTCAATCAACAACAATTAACACCGACTTGTTATAGTGAAATATTTAAAGAAAGGGATCAAAATCAGCTCCTTTGCTCTGCATGCATTTGAATAGGTAATCAAATCAAGTAAATATCTGTCTGTGTACTAATACACTGTTTCAGCTTCAGGTGACAGGAAAAAGAAAAAACATGTAGTTTTCAAAAAAAGTTAAGTCTCTTAACACAGTGACTGATGTGACTCAGTCCAGGAACACCTGCTTTGAACTTCATGTTGTCAGCTGAAGCATCTGAATTTTTTCTGCAGCGCCACCGTACACAGAACACCTCAGGATAACACTCGTCTCAAATGATATACCTGTCAGCCCAACTGCAATGATGATGGAATATCTGTAGAAAAGAATTACAACACCAGCTACTCGCTACCCGCTCTTGACATGTTACAGCTTCTTCTGCCACGGTGTCTGGTGAACTATGATTTGAACAGCTAATGATCATGTTCAACGTCAGTAACGGATCTAAACTGTGAGTCTAAAGGCTGACGAGTTGATATGTAGGTCTGGAGTTCAAATGTGCAGAGACTGAAGATGTTGTGTTTCTCCAGTAACTGTAAATGTGCTGAGAAACGAAAAGGCTCAAGTTATAATGAGCATTTAAAAAATAGGGTTTTAAAAACCTGTAAATAAAAATATCACAGACAAAAAGCAGGGACAGTGAGTTCTATGACATATTGAGGTGTGGATACAGGCTCAGTGTTTTGTTTTCATATGCAATCTAATTTGGAGCGCTCGTCTATAAATAAGAATTGCAGGCACATTTCATCGGGGACAGTGTTGCAGGTACATTAATGTTCTGCCAAACTACAAAGAAAAACACTGAAGCCTAATGAGGAACTGAACAAACAGGACAACAGTAGAGCAGCTTCATTTCTACCTGTGCAAAAAGAAGCGTAAACGACAGAAGATGATGTTTCACACATCATCATCTTACGCTTGCAGCTGTGAACACAGTATATAGGTGAATAAAACAGATCAATAAGTCAGAACGAAAAATATCGAACTTACGTACATGTTCATGAAAATAGACTTTCTAATGAACAAAAAGGGATAAACAAGACTCCTCCTGTGCTGAGTGCACTGTGAAGGAAAATATTGAAAAAGAAAAAGTGTTTCCCATTAATCATCTGGACTTTGGTGGCCCACCATATTCTAATTTGCTGCACGACAAACCAAATAAATGTTAACACTTCTCACAACAACATAAGAGATCTCTTGCTCGGTGAATTGTACAACTGTGTGCAGCGCTGTTTACTGGTGCTATCGTCCATAAAGTTGTTACTGTTCACGCAGACAGTCAGACCTGATAGATTCAGCTGCAGTTGTACACGTACCTGCAAGTGGAATGCAATGCAGTTCTCTTTCATTTTTAAAGCTGTTCCTGTCACTCAGAATCTGTTGCACATGACAGTAGCGTTCGTGCACGAGCACCAGTGCTACCGACATAGATTCAATGAATAAACGATGATGAAAAAAAGTGAATCAGAATTCCTGTATTCGCCCATTTATTCGGAGCCACTCCAAAGTATAGCCGATTAATTTCTGAACCCATACTGCATCGTTCCACCAAGTTTTGTGTAAGTCTCTCTTGTAATTATTGTATAATCCTGCTTAATAACAGATGGAGCTCTCTTTCCGAACT